TGGTGACTATAATAAAACAAAATTTATTATGATTATTATTATTTTATTTTTTATGTTACTATTATTATTTTATTTTTTTAATTTTTTGTATAAGATTTTTTTATTCATTAAATTTATTAATTACTAATATTTTATTTTATATATATTAATTTATTATTTTTTTACTTCAACTATTTAAATATTAATCAGAACATCTATATTTATCAAATAAAATTTATGAATTAAAACAGCCATAAAATATATTCACTCAATTCATTCTAAATTTTCAATTCATCATTCTATAAGAAATCAATTTTTCTTTAATTGATCTCTTTATTGAATAAAACATTCATACATCATTAAATAAAATCAAGCAATCAAAATAACATAAAATACATTTACTGTATCTATTTTAAATCTTTTATCAATTTCTCTGTAATTAACTATCTATAACTTAACTATTCTAATAATCAAAATAACATGAAATATATTCATTATCTTCATGATTTATTTTAAATCATTCTTTATTAATATTTCATGATTAAATAACCTTTTCTATTCAACTATCCAATTATCAAACAAACAATCTTATATCTTCTCAAGAAACAAAATTCAACAGCCAGAGAACAAACATACCATGCATTCCTTGCAGAAACCAATCACAACCATCCACTACAAGAATTTCTCAGGCATTCTGACCGCAAACACGTACTATGCCTCAAGCATCCTTCGCTCAAAGAGGAATCCGAAAAGCTATGAGAGAAGAAGTTGGTTGGCTTTATCCTCCTGACACAGAAATGCCTGCAACGAGCTCGTGCATCACCGAAATGTAGGCACAAAGATCGCCTGAAGCTAAAACTCGACGTTGAGTTTCTCTCAACGTTCGTCGTCTAAACTTTCTAGCTCATGTGTCACTGACCTATCCCTTCCAGTACGTCGAGCCGTAGTAGTCGAGAACGAAGGGTCGTGGGATAAGATCAGGCCTCACCTGGATCATCGGATGTATCGGTAACATCGGCTGCACTACGTAAATCGGTTGATTCTTCGGTACATGATTCTGCGCTGTGACCCACTGATGAACCATGTTGCGGGTCTTCAATCGACCGTCGCTTGCAATTTCGTCGACATTGTTTGTTCGAAGGCATCCGCATAGTTTAGGGGTTAAGGTTAAGCAAATGTAACCAGAAACTAATAATTCGGCCACACTAGCTACCAGTAATCCAATGCTAGCCAATATACCTGCCCAGGTACCTTCTACTTCTGCTGCGTCTCCATCTTCATTCTTTAACAATTGAGGTTATTTTATTTTTTTTATTTATTTTAATTATTCATAACAAAGAAATTTAATTTTTTGTTTCAAAATATTTTTAATTTTAAAAAATTTGATAATTTGAAATTTGCTACGAGAATAAAAATTTTAATTCCAATTAATATAATTATACAATTAATATTTACAATTGATATTTTGTAATGAATAATACATAAATGAACAAATATTTAATTTGTTCACTTATAATATATATTATTATATAAAACAAAGAGTTTTCGTGAGAAAGTTTCACTTTTTCCGGAAATAGGATAAAGATAAGAAATAATATATAACATTATTTATTTATCTAGAAAGTTATGAATATTTCCAAATATTATTGAATACTTATAAGATATATACTAATAAGATTAAAGATCTCAATTAAAGATTGAAATATATAATTTAAATATTTGAATAATATATGGAAATATTTATCTTGCAGCTTCTAACATTTGATACTCTTTTGTGCTATTATTTTCATCTTCTATTGTTCTTTAATCTACTCATATTTCAACTATCAAGTATATTATAAATAGTAAGATTGACAACTATTTAAATTTATTTTTATAAATGACATTTGATGATTTTCATAAAAATTAGATGATAGAAAAAATATATATTGATAAAAAAATAAATAAAATAAAAATAATTAAAAAATATACATTGTTGCTAAAAAATAATATTATTTCAAAATAATACTATTTTAAAAATCGAATATAAATATAGATATAAGATATTTCTACTACAGAAGACTTTCTCTTACCAAGTTGGACGAAGTATATCCGTCAAAGTCTATTTACTTTGACCTAAGAAAAGTAACATTATTACTTTTACTTGTGTAACTTCATATTATAGGATATTTAAACTATTTATTTTCATATTTTATATATTAATATTATATATTTTTAATTACTGCTTAAATAATTTAATATATTTTTTTATAATATTTTATCTTGAAAACTTTTTTTTTGTTTTTGTTTTAAAAAATTTAGCGAAATAATTTTCTTTTATTAAAAAATTAAAATACAACTATTTTAATCCATTATTATTTTCTTTGACATTCATGAAATATTTGTAAATTCAGATTACTGCATAGCAAAACATTTTGTAATAGATCATTGACCGGAAGAGACGCGTTTCATCGCGTTCAAGATTCAGAGGCAGAGGCAATTTGTGAAATTTCACGATGCCCTGACCGCGTTTTAGCCTTGGCATTGGAAACTTTCTCTGACGGTCAAACGGTTCCAACGGCCCTGTTCTGGTTGGTCTGAGACGCCAAAACCCGTCGATCTCATCGGTGAACGAGAAAATGATCAAGAACGAATTTGGGCCACCAATACCGCTTACTAATTGAGTTTTAAGTAAGTACAGCTCATAATAATATGAACTAAAATAAAAAATTATATATATTATATATATATTTGATCTTGAAATAAAATGAACTTATTTTTTAATTATTTTAGGAAAATAATGAATATGGAATATAGTAAATAATACAAAAATAATATAAAATAAGTAAAATAATATTTCAAATAAAATTTGGTTGCTAATTACTAATTCAAAGATCATACCAGTTCATTTATATGAAAAATTTTTAATAATCCCCATAGATTCTATCTTTTATACATATAAGCATAAATACCCAATGATAGTTCGAGTAATAATTTCCTGATGAAGTCACCGTTAGCTTCTTAGTAGTTTCATGGAATAAGCACGCGCCAATAAAATTTCTCCGGGTATTGAATATACTTATCGCTAATGATTGATCGTAATTGATACTTTCACGTTATAATATATATCTTCATCGATTACTAATGAAATCCGAGAAGTGTAAATTTTTGTTATCATATAGAATGAAGTAAGTTATATAAAAGATTGTGAAAAGTAATAAAATTAAAAATATAATTATTATAATAATTTCATTATGATTATTTATCAGTTTTAAAAATCTCTGAAACAAGAAAAAGAATGATGATAGGAATTTTGTTTTATTATTATTCTGTTAAATTAAATCTTATTTTTCTAAAACTCAATTAATTTATAGATTAATTTTTTAAATTTCTTTTTAGATAAGTACAATATCATAATTGTATACAGCAATGTTCAGAAGAAAAAAGAAATGCATAGAAAAAAAGAGTAACTAGTGAAAGTGCAGACAATACATACCGGAACAGTGAGCAAGGTCACTTCCGGTGTTCTCTGGGAGTCCCTGACAATAGCAGTCAAGGCCGTGATTGCAGCCATATTCGAAAGGGCAAGGGCAATGAGGCTCGCTGCAAGGTGAGCCGTGGAAAAGCTGGAATTCGTTTTGCTTGTTGATGTTGCAAGTGTTGCTACGACACCAAACGCTCCTGCGGCAAGAGCACCCGCACCTGCCCATAATCCTGCACCGGAACCTCCTAATGCAGCGCCATGGACCAATACCAGGATACCAAATACTACAAGTACTACACCTATAATATTAAATTTGTTTTATTTAAAATTTTTAAGATAATTATTATTAAAATATATTTAAATTATAAATTGAAGAATTCATGTAAAAAATAATCTTTAGAGAAGAAATATTTAAAAATCTTTAATTTCTTTTTTTTTTATCATTCTAGGTTTATTATTACAATTATGTTGGAGCAGAATCATGAAGTTAGTGAAACTTACAATTAAAATTGAATAAGGATCATTTTATGAATTTATCAATTGTAGAAATGAAATATAATAAAAAATAAATAATAAGAAAGTATAAATATAAAATATACATGGGATGTACATGAATATGGTAATAATTATGTTCATTTCAATATCACCAGAGAACATGGAATAACAATGAACTACAGCATGGTAATTCTCTACGGTTTGCAAATCTGTAGAAGGAGTTACACAAGTATGACTTTCTAAGTGAAATGTTTTCACTTTTACACCGATTTCTATGCAATTTGAAGAAATGTTTGCTGCTCAGTGGTCAGTCAGTGAAAATTCGTATATATTTTATTTATAGAATTTTAAAACAATCAAGATATCACGCGAAAGTAGAAATCACACTAACAACTCTGTATTCATCTTACTTGTTCATGAATTATATGAATTATAATTTCAGACAAATTTTTTGCTTTCTTAACATTATCTCTTGTAGTTATTAGGATCATTTTAAAAAATTATGGACTATATTCTTTATAATGATGATAATGATAAATTCTAAATATGATAGAATATATTTAAATAAAGAGGTATGTAATATTTACTGTTTGTTACATACGAAATATTTATTATTCATGAACAAAAGTTGTATTTTATATATATGTATTTATATTATGTATTTTATTATCACGATTTTTTAAAATATAAATGTAAATATCTTTTCTGTTTTATTGGAATTAATTAAAATATTTCAAGAAATGTTTTCTTTGAAAATGCGTCATCAAGAACGATAAAGAATGAACTTGTAAGGATAATATACATATTAACATAAATTTAAATAGTAATCGTCGTTAAATATCATACTTAATTAATAGGAATTCGCTATCTAGTTGAAATTGAAATGTCTGGTAAACACGTTTGCCGTGAATCCGTGATATTATTAATTAAATTAATTCTAATGAAACAGGTTTTTGCGGTCATTATTGCGAAGTAATGTCAATTATTTTTTTAAATATCAAATATATCTTTATCTAATATTATTAATTGAAAATAGTTGATATGCAATCAAATTATTCAATATTATTTATAAAAAGAATTAACTATTAAATAATGTATTTCCCAAAATAATTTTGAATTAAATAATTTCAGAAATTTATTTATTTTTTTATTATTTATTTTATACTCTATTCAAAGAATCCTATCATATAAAATATAAAATAGATATTAACGTAAAAAACTTAATAAAAGATTTAATATAAATTCATACAAAATGTATTTTAATAAAAGAAATAAAAAAAAATATAAAATAAAATTTAAAATAAAAGAAAAAATATTTCTTATAAAATAATAAAAATAATAAGAAATATAAAATTACAGAAAATTTCCAAAGATAAACGTACCTAAAAGCAATTGCCCACAAGAAGTGAACATCAGAATAGTTGATTCATCCTTGGACTCCTTGTTCTTCAGTTTCTGTCGATCGTCCGTGCTTGTTACGGTTCGAGGCTGTTGCCGTTGTTGCTTCTCAGAAATAAGGATTTCTTTCGAATGTTTAGACTCGAGGCAACTTTCTGGTTTCGAATCGGATGTGTTCGAGTCCTTCGAGTCCTTCGAGTCCTTTGAATCCTTCGAATTCTTTGAATTATTCGAATCCTGACTTCTAACAGTCGAGTCAAGTGCAATCGCCGCGTTCTCCATGTTTTTTTTTTTCTTTTCTTAAAGGCGTTCTAATACATTACTGTACACACCTGTTCCTTCCTGCTTCTTCACATAGAGCGTTCCAGGTACGTTCAATCATTTATTTTTTTCTCTCATGAATTCTTTTTTTTTTATTTATTAAAGCAATGAATATATTATTCATTAGAGAAGATTTCTTCTCGATCTCGTTCCTTTTTTTTTTATTTAACTCTTTCCTTTTCTTTTTTTATTTATTAAAAAAGAATTTATTATTACTAGAAGATTCCTTTCTTAGCTCATTTTTTCGTTATTTATTCTTGTTCTTTAATCTTTTTTTTTTTTTTTTTTTTATTTTTTTTTTTTTTTTTTTTACCTTCTTTCTATTTTATGTAAAATATTTGTATTTAATTTGAATTTTAAATATATTTGAACGCATACTGTTTTCTTTCTCTTCTGACTTTTACAATTTATTTGTGTTAATTGAACGAATGGATAGATCGTTCTATTAGAGAATTCTTGAATTAATTAGTATAATAAATTTATTTTTAAGTGGATAGAAATATCTATTTTTTTTTCCTCTTTCTTTTTTTTATTAATTCAAAGCAACTTTTCGTAGTTTAGTAAAGGTCAATAGACGCCCAAGTCGTTGATCCGGTTGACACAGTCTGTTGAATCCCAACCATCTGTAAATTAAGCAAGCAACATTGATAATCTATACTCAATAATGACCGAAATTGCGGTAAGAGGAAATCTTTCAGTTTCTATTGAGAGATAATCCCATTGTGATGTAATATTTTATTGAAATATGATTTCAATATGAAACGATACCTGTGAGATAGTATAATCAACTTGAATTGCAATGAAAAAATATATTATGTATATATAAAAACCTCTTAAAGATTTTTCATGCATTATTAATTCATATATTTATAAAATTAATATCTTCCATTAATTTATATCCCTATATTTTAACAAAATAATTTTAAGGAATACGGATTATTATATATACGATATATATGATATAAATAGAGAGAGAGAGAGAGAGAAAAAAATATGTTCATCGTTCAATAATTCAATTTTATTTTTAATTACTTACGTTAGATTATTCATTCCATTCCATTGGTAATCAAAATCTTGATATTATTTATATTTTTTTCGATAATTAATTTAAAGATTTATTTTGAGATAATGAAAATTTTTATTGATTTTCAAATCTAACAATCTAAATTATTAAAAAATTAGTAAAAAATTATTTATTATATTCTTATATATATAATATTCTGTAAATTGTATTTTTGTTTTTATTATACGTTTATAATATATATGTCACGATATATTTAATAGATATATTTTTTACCTTTAATTGCAAAAAATTCCCAATTCCTATTTTTGTTAACAAATTCTTTTATGATATTTCTTAAATGAGCATTTTTGAATATTACGTGTTGTTTTTTGTTCTTTAATTTTATATACTGTTTATATTATATACGGAATCCATTTTGTCGATAAGTTAAACGAAGATTTAAAATTTTTCTAGAATCAACGCCATCTCGCGTTTGGATCATCGAAGCTCCAACTTGTTACTAGCATAGCAGAATGTGCAAGGAGGTATGCGAATTCGTGTGACGTCATAGACAAGGAAAACAATATTGTGTGAAAAGGATAGAGAACATTTTCCGCCACACTACATGGAAAATTCATTAATTACTTGTTTTCTACTCAAAATTTCCGCACTTTTGAATTCACATCTTGAAGCTAGAAGCCTAAAGAAATTTCTCGTATCAATTTTAATGTGAAATTCTCTTTAATTAATTATTTATTAGTGATTAACTTCCTATAGTCTCTAATTCATCAAGACGCCATATTGAAAATTCATTATTATTCATTAATTATTCATTTTCTAATAAAAATTTCTACACTTTTAAGTTTGCAACTTAAAGCTAGAACTTTAAACAAGTTTCTCTTATTAATTTTGATGTAAAATTCCTTTTAGTTAATTATTTATTAATGATTATTACGATGAATATTTCAGATGCAAATCTCTATTCCGTAATCAAGTAATAAACAATTATATTATTTATTTAAACATGAGCAAAATTATAAATAAAATTTATATGTGAAAATAGAGAGAAAAGCAACGTCTTAAATGCATATAATTATATTTAGAAATAAATCCTATATTAATAAAAAATTAATGAAAAATCTATTGCGTATCAATGATGTCAATTTTATATGACACATTAATCATTAATAAATAATTAATGAAAACGAAAATCATAATAAAATTGATATGAGAAACTTGTATATGGTTCTAACTTTAAGATGCAAGCTTAAAAGTGCAGAAATTTTGAGTAAAAAATTAATAATTAATAAATTTTCCATGTAGCGTCAAAATGGCCGGACATATTTTCTGTCCTTATCTAATATATTGTTTTCCTTGTCTGTGACGTCACACGAATTCGCATACCTCCTTGCATATGCTGCTATGCTAGTAACAAGTTGGAGCTTCAGTGATCCAAACGCTAGATGGCACTGATCTTCAAAAATTTTCGAATTAATTTATAAGAAAAATACTCCGTTAAAAGTTTGTAAGATCAAAGAAAAGAATGCAGTAGATTAATTATAAATTATTTAAACGAGAATATATGATAGTGTAAAGAAAAATAATAAAGAAATAATATTCTTGGAAGAATATATGTATTCGAAGAGTATTTTATACGTGTTTATACATGTAAGTAAATATATACAACACATATATAGTATATTTTTTTAGGTTATAAATATTCGATTAGCTAATAGATTTTGATTATAAATAAATCATTTTATAATAACTAGTCATTTATTTTTATTTAAGAATCAGATTTCAAATTAAGAAAATATCAATATATTAAAAATGAATGTAATGAGATGGAATTAATTTATAATTTATTTATTGAATATATAAACAAAACAAAGAAAAAATTAAAAAAATTATTTTAGATCTTATCTTTAGAAAACAATTTCGAAGGTATGTTTAATGTAATCTTGTTATTAAATTAATTAGTTTATCTGAAAACATGAAAGAAAATAAGTTTATAAAATAGATAAAAAATTATTCTTCTCTGTCTGCTATTCAGACGATAAACATTTTGCAGATATCATTTGTAATATAGCATGTAATATAACATTATGTACAAAGCTAAAGCAATAAGAGATAACGGTCTATGATCTTTTATATCCCTGTTAAATTGTGTGTAATATTCAGGTAAAATTTATCGTTAATAAATCTGTATAATGTATTCTTTGGTCAACCCAAAATTATGCAGTTTTTATACTTTCAGATGTTCTTAGTTTAATGAATCATAATGAATTGTACAGGACTGGAAAAAAAAGAAAAAAATAAAAAAATGATTTTTATGACATTTTATTTCGAAAACGCGATAGAATACATCCATAGTATTTATAAATATACTTGATTATTGTATCTTAAATGGAAATGGAAATGGAAAAAAAGAAGATTTAGAATCCTCAGTAGAAAAAACTATAATATTTTATTTATATTTTAATATATTTGATATATTTTATATATATATTTAAACAAAAAATTTTACTACTAAAATTCTCAATTTCATTTCTCAGGAAAATATAATCTGAAAAGAAATGATAAACGAAATTCTTCCTAAAATTTAAAGAAAAAATTTTTAGGAATATAATTAGAATTTTGAATTATTTTGGTTAATTTTGTTATTTTATATTAAAAATGTATATAAAGAAGTGGCATGCAAAATTTTACCACAATTTTATTATAGAAAAATTTTTTTATATAAATTTTAATATATTTACCTATGAAATATTTATTTTTTATTATATTTATCTCTTGCAGTTGCCATTTCTTATGATATAGAATATTTTTTTTGCAATT